GGGGTCGTGTGTGGTGTGCCGCTTGCCCCGCCGCCGGCGCCCCGCCGCGGCTTTGAAACCCCCGGGGGAAGCCGGCGGGGGGGGCATCCCAGGCGCGCATGGGCTGCCCCCCCGCCGGAGCCCCTCCGCGGCTTTGAGGGACCATCTCCAGCAGACCAGGGACACCGGGAGCAAAGGAGGCGGAGGGGCGCTGGGGTATAAGATGAAACCCTATCTTTTAATTAAAAAGATAGGGGGTCGTCTTATACGCCCAGTCGCCCTATACGCCGGAAAATACGGTAGTTTTGTTCCAAGCCCTTCCCTTATCCAAACTAGATTCCGTTTGATACAGATACATTGCTGTTAACACTGAAAATACAGTACTCTATAGGAACTCCTAAATAATCTACGTTCATCTATGGCTGCAAATGACAAGACTTCCCCTAATAAATATGATTAAAATCTATTGTTATTTCTCTCTTCTTTCTAGGCCTGTGACTGCAGTCCACTTGGATCCCTCAGTTTCCAGTGTAACTTAGATACAGGCTGCTGCTCCTGCCAACCTGAATTCTCTGGGGACAAATGCACGCAGTGCAGACCAGGCCATTGGAAATACCCAAAGTGCATTCCCTGTGACTGCTTTCTGGCAGGGACGGATCCTCAGACGTGTGATGCAGAGACAGAAAAATGTTCATGTGCTGATCGTACAGGTCAATGTAGCTGCAAGGTAAGGCAATGAGGTATGAAAGCTGACTTAATGGTGTTATAGGAACCTGCTTCAAATTTAATGGGAGTTTGTACTTGCCTATCACAACAAGTTTTCAGTGGAATATCTTGGGGTCTACAGTAAACACAAACTCTGTTAGTTGCTTATAATCATAGCTTTTTTATCCTAGCTGAGAAGTCTTGCAACTAGAGGATGAAACAGACACTTACCTAAGTGTTCTACTATAGCATTCTTTCATCCATTAAAGTTTAACAAAGGAAGTTCCCAAATGTGACCTCAACTTAGACATTTTTTTTTCAAATTGTTTTTCTTTTTCTCCTTACAGAACTGTTATCATGTTAAACATATTCAGTGAACATCACCAACCCTTTGGCAAATTAAAGTAATTTTTTGGGCAATAGCAACATTTGGGCCAAATGTCTAATCCTTAATAAGTCCTTACTGGGACATTTACTTCAATGGGAATTTTGCTGAGTAAGGGCCATAGCACTTGTCTCATTAATAACCATGTGTGTAATCAGAGTGACTCTGTTTTAAGATCCTTCATTCTGTTTCAACAGCCAGACGTGCAGAGAGAGTGGAGAACTAATACATAATTAAGGAAGAAGGAGTTGAGATTACTTATTATTTCTTGATAATTCTTTTGTCAAATGCACATTAGTCAACAGAGTTTTAGGCCTAAAGTATAGTTCCCAAAGGGAAAAAAGGAATTTTACAAAGCCTTCTAAACAAATATTGCTTTGATTGATTGGGTTTTACAATTTTGATGAAAGCAGTTGTTTTTACGTATGTGATCCTGCCATTGTTGTGAATCAAAACACAATAGCATGGAGCTTCTATTTAAGAACCAGAAACCATACATAAGTAGGAGCAAAATCAGTAAAACTGATCATTTTAGGGCTCATTTAAAAAAAAAGGTAAACAGCATAAATGAAATTAGATAATCAACGTTCTTTCAATTTTAATACTCTGATTTGTTAATAATAGAAATAGATAATTTTTCCTGCTATGTTTTATATTGACATTGTTCTTTAAATATAAGATTTGGCTCTTTAATATTGCTTTTGAGTGTTAAAATGCCACAGAATAGGTACAAATATCCTTTCAAAAAGGCTCAGTGTGAGTTCTTCACAACTTAGCTTTCCTTATTGGGCATAATGGTGTAATTAAATTAAAAGCATTGATATTACAACAGTAAATAGGTGCACATTTCAGCCCTTTAAATATAGTTCAATGATGCAGAAAAACAATCTGATGAAGAGAGAAAATGGGAATGTTTTTTCACACTTGATATTTTTATAAAAATAAATTCCTCAGCAACTACGGTTAGTATCATACCTTAAATATTCAGATATGCCAAGATAAACTTGTAGGAGACAAAAGGCTTGATTAACCTATCATTTTTATAGGGAATAATTTTACTGTTATCAATAAGCTGTTAAGCATTCCACACTAGAAGTGCTATTTGTTTTAGCACATGTTCCTCTACCAGCATGGAGCAAGCATCTTCTGCCCATACTAATCTAGTAGATAGAGGTATGATATATGTATGTGTTGCAGAGGGGCGGGGCGGGAAGGGTGGTTTTTGCTGTGTTTAAAAAAAAATCTTCCCTGTGCTCTTTCTCTTGCAGGTTAACGTGGAAGGTGTCCGCTGTGACAGGTGCAGGTCTGGAATGTTTGGACTCTATGCCAAAAACCCACTTGGCTGCAACAGCTGCTATTGCTTTGTCCTGACTACTCAGTGCAGTGAGGCAAAGGGGCTGATCCGCATGTGGGTGAGTAGGGAACTGCTGAGCCGTGTAATGTGATAATGTTGTTTCCTGCTGGCGTCTTTTAGCCAGGCACAGAGAGGTAGCTAGGAAATGGCAAAACGTTTAAGCAATCTTTTCCCCTGCGTACTTTAAGAAGCAGAGAGAGGAGCATGTTCCATTAGACAATCAGGGTCAAGGCATTAAAAAAATTGTTTGATAGTGTAATAGATGTCAAGCCAAAGTAAATCTATTAAAATGCAGTAAAAAGCAATGTGGGAAAATTTTGAGATGGAAAATCCAGTGCGCTAGAGCTCTGGTATAAAGATGAGAATCTGAACTAGTTGCACAGTAGTTTCCCTTACCATATTCCAAGGTCATTGGTGCTTATTGTTAAATATGTAGATTTGATTTGATTAACTCCTCATTTTTCCCCTTCTAATTTATTGTCAAAGATGTGCTTGTGACAAATGTTGATCTATTTAAATCTTGACTTAGTGGGTGGAGCCTACCTAAACAACAAAAGACCACATGCTAGATTGACAGTCCTGGTGACTGAAGTCCTTTGATTATCTCTAGAAACTTTTCTTCGTCTGAGCAGATGGGGAAGGATTCTAGATGAGCTATATTGGTGCAGGACTGTCAATCTGACATGGCTTGGGTCAAGAGAAAGGTGATAAAACCAGTCAGGCCACAGAGCTAATGAAAGCATCAGTACTTTTGCAAACTCTGTTTCAGTCTTGGTATGAGACTATAAAGCTGAACAATTATTTCAAACTGTTTTTATTCCTCTCTTTTTACTTATCTCTCTTTGAATTCTGAAATTTAAACAAGACTTTGCAGATTCCCACTGTAAGCTACATGGGCTTGTATAATTGGGAACACTCTGATCTATCTCAAAACCGAGTCAGTCTACATCTTGGAAAAACTTCCTCATCTCCTCTCTCCCTCTCCCTGCTGAAGCATGCTCAGTACAGCCTTAGGGCTGCTAACAGTAAATAGGTATTCTCACACTGGCCACAGCAGTCGTCATTGTAACAAAAATACGTAAAGCATTATGTTCCTTCCCCTTTAAATAATTAGTAATAATGAACATAAAACATTAACATAGCAACAACAATATAGACCGTCCTAACTAATTGATTGGGTACACTACCGCAAACGTCAGGCAAATGCCAGGGATTTTTTTTCCATCTCTAGCATAATTGCCTTATGTTTGGGTTTCCCTGATACCTCTTCCACACGGTTCCCCAAGAATTCAGTGTGACTCCAGTATTGTCACTTCGGTTCAACACTCAGGTTCTGTTATTTAGCATATAGCAAAGCTACTCTGAGTGGATCAGACACAAATGTTGGGGAGTGCCTGTAGGTTGTATCTCACATCTAACAGTACACAGCAAACCCTCTTCCTTTATATACATTTGCAGATGATATTGCATTTGCTATGCATTGCATCCTGTGTTTTGGGATTGGCTCAGTTGCTTTGTAGGAACCAATCCCTGTACAGCATACTCCGTCCACAAATTGTCCATGCACAACTTACTCCTTATTTCATTGTGTGGTTCTTGGGATATTTTCTAATTGTTATCTTGACCACTAATCCACTTATCTCCCTAACCCTGTCTCCCAAGAAATGAGGCCCCACCCATGTCCAATTACTCATATCAAGCCAAGCCTACATCCTACTACTTCAAGTCCAGTCTAGTTCTAGGTTTGGGAGATTTTCTGGAACTCAGGAAACACCTGCGATCCTTGGTCAGTAGCAGGTGCAGAAGGACTTTCTGATAATAGAACCATCTGTGCAGATGTAATGTCCAAATCTGCTGAAGTGGTTGGTATGGGGTCTTCAGCAATCTTCCTATTTTTGGAATTAGCATTTGGTAATTAGGGCCTCTGCAATACGTGATACCTCAATATCCAAATGAGAATTGTCTACAGGTAACTCCTAGCAATACTACAATAAAACATGACTGTGATATACAAGGTTCCCTCTAAGCCGTGTGTCAGGACAGCTCCCAGCTGCTTAATCAGCCCTGCCCAGCCATAGGGTTAGGGCCCCACACATGGAGCTGTAGTCTGAGAAATTCTCACACCACCTCTGGGTCCCTCTGAGAGGCAATGCTTCCCCACTCACAAGCAGAATCTGAGTGTAGAAAAGAAACTTGTAATAAAAGGAGGGAAGTAGCTTGGCATTAATTTGGGAAAACACCACAAACAGGGCTCATAAATGTGCACCATGAGTAAAAATCCCGCCCCAAGTAGGCTGGGCAGTGTATTTTCCTCTCAGGTCCTTAAGACCAGCAATCCCAAAGTCCCCTTCACATGCCCAATCCTTCTCTGTACCCCACTCACAGTTGCTGCCCTTGGGCAATGCAGATCCAAAGTTTAGAGGTGCATCCACAGAGTTCATCTCCTTTCTTGGGGCAGAGGGGGCCAATATGTTTCTTATTCATTCTGCTGGGGACTCACCAGCCTGGGATGGTGAGGAGTGTGAATAGGTGTGGGGAGGACACAGCTCAACACTCCCACCCTAAAAATAGTTTCAGTGCCACTGATCTTAGAGCCTCTAATAGTAAATAATTATTCTCATATTGGCTGCCCAGTGAATAAGTATAACAAAAATGCACCTGTCAATCCAAGATCTGGATCTTATAAGAAGCGTATTTCATCTTAATGTAAGATTCTTAGACTCTGAACAGAAGTGTGGTCCAGGACTGAAACAACAGGCAGAGCTTGCAGACATGTGCTCATATTTGCTGCTGGTCCCCCCTTTCATGGGCACTGAATATGAAGGGAGCATAGTAGAGTAGAAAACTTAGTCTAATAGTTCTATTTAGTGGGACTACTCACATGACTAAGGACTCTACAATCTAGTGTGAAAGTAAGTGCAATCAGTTTTTAAAATAATAGAAGTAAAAGCATAGCAAGACTTTGCCTACTTGAAAAAAGCTTGAAAAAATAAACTTGTTTTTCTTTTTAATACCTTTAATACGTTCAGGTGACCTTGAAGCCAGAACAGGTGGTTCTGCCACTGGTAGATGAAAACCTTCAGGACAGTACTACCAGAGGGGTTGTATTCCAACATCCAGAGATAGTAGCTGACATTGAACTGGTGATGCAAGATATCCATTCAGGACCTATTTACTGGAAACTTCCAGAGCAGTTTGAAGGACGAAAGGTAAAGATAAGATTTCTTTAAATTCTGATAAAAACTGATGTTTTACAAAAGCTTCTAATTCTTGTATTGACAAAATCACTGGAAGATTTTTGCAACGAATAAACATTTTTCTTGTTCCAATTTATTCTGGCAAAAGTTTTAGAAAAATAATAGGAAATTCTATTAGTTGTCATCAAAACTTGGAATCCTATAACATCAATACCATCTTGAAGAAGATATTTATTCATGCAAATATATAAGAAATATGCTACTATGAAATTTTTTTGGCCATCACAGGAATTGATAGCTAGCATCATTAGATAGATATGAGGAATTCCTTCTCTATGAGAAATACCTTCTCTTTGGGCCTTATCCATCTCTGTGGCTCTATTATGTGTTGTACTATTGAAGGCCCCTTATTGGATTTGTGGGAATATTAATATTCCCACAGAGCCAAACAAAGAGGGACATAACATTTGTTTCACTTTCTGCAGAAATAGATTATCTTAATATATATCTGTGCACAATCCTGTATCTCTGTATGTTTCAAGTAGCACAGACCTCTGTGTTCTCTCTCTCTCTTACACACACACACACACACACACACACACACACACACACACACACACTGATGTTTCTATACATGTATTCGTAATACTTACATGCACAGAGATATATTTGTAGCTAATTGTAACTCGTGTCTCTGTATGCTTTATTTTGCTTTTTTAGCTGACTGCTTATGGAGGGAAACTGAAATATGCTATCTACTTTGAAGCACGCGAGGAGACAGGTTTTGCCACCTATAATCCCCAGGTCATTATCAGAGGTGGGCCTCCAAAACATACAAGGATTATAATCCGGCATATGGCTGCCCCTTTGATTGGCCAGCTGACGAGGCATGAGATAGAGATGACGGAGGTAACATTTTAATCTGTTGTGTTTCAGAATATTAATCTTTGGTTCTGTTGATACAAATAGTTGACTGGATTTTGTGTTACCATTTTCTTCAGCATGAATGGAGATACCATGGTGATGGTCCAAGAACCAGTAGTTCTGTGACACATGAGGACTTCATGGATGTGCTATACAACATTCATTACATTCTTATTAAGGCTTCCCATGGCAGCATCATGAGACAAAGCAGGTAACAATTTTATGCAATAGCTTGAAATACTTCAGCTATCCCAGCTAATCCACTTGAGACTTCAAACTGAATTTTTAAATCATGAAACAAGCTATAAGCACAAAAGCAGCAGGTTGTACAAAAAGAAAACTAGAGAAATGGGAGAAAGGAATTATACTCAAAGGAAAACCATAATTGTTGTAGCCAAAAGAGACCTGTATTCTCAGTATCTCAAAGCCAATAAAAAACCCAAAAATATATTTTGTAAACAGATGTGAATACTATGCAGATATTGTGCTTTCATATAAATACGGATTGTAGCCTATGAAATATTTGTCTCTTGACAATCAGTGATGAATAAACAATTGGTGATGTAAATAGTACCCTCTTAAAATGACACATAACCCAATATAGCAGAAGCAGATAAAAATTCAATAAGGTACTAGTAAGGTGGTAGCACTAAAAAGTTGTAGTGTAACAATGTTTGTGTACCAGAGAAATTGAAAACTAGTAGCAATGCCCTAAAAGTGAAACAAGCAGCTGATGGTTATTTATTATTAATTTATTTAAGTAATTTTAAAGAAACTAACTATCCATTTTCCAAAACTTGGTTGTCCCCTGCAGCTGCAGTTGCCACAGTTCTTTAAAAAGTCATGGGGTATGTGGCTAAGAACTATAGACTTTGATTCTGGAGAGCAGTTAAAACACAGACTTAAGTCCAACCCTATTCAGAATAGCCCTTAAGTACATGCTTACCTTTGAACATGTGCTTAAGTCCAGTGATGTAAAGTTAAGCATGTGCTTTAATCATGTCCTGAATGCTTTCCTGAATTGGACTCCAAAGCTATGTCTAGACTACAATGATTTATCAGAAAAAGGTATGCAAAAAACCTTTTTCCGATAGTTTTTTCAGAAGAGGCTTTTCTGAAATTTGGCCAGTCTACACTGGGCTAAATTTTGGAAAACCCATCTCTTTCAGAAGAGCCCATCTTCCTCATGGGAGGAGGAAGACAGGGCTTCCTAAAGAGCGTGTCTGCTCTTCCACAGAAAAATCACAGCAGAGTTTTTTCTGTAATACCTCTGGTATCCCTGAAAAACCCCATCGTGTAGACTTAGCCTAACTCTTAACAAGCAAAAGCTTCTCTTCTCGTCCAGTTGCCATTAGAAATAAAATATGGGGGATGAGTTATAGAAAAAATTATTATAATGGAGTGTTGTCATTTTTTTCAACGTGAACAATGAGGAATTAATAGCTTTTAAATTTTCTATGAATATTCTTTCAACACAAAAGTTTAAAAAAAGCAGAGGTGCAGATGATAGTCTGTAGAAAAATACCATCAATGACAATTCGAACCAATGGCAGACTTAAGTATAAAATAGCTTAATTCCAATGTTAGCCTTTTATTAGCGATATAATTTATAATTTGTTTTGCAAAAGCTATGCTATTACAGAGAGTGATTTAGAGGCTTCTGCTAAAAATCCAAAAGCAAACATTTTTCTCCTACTGTGTTCATTATGTTGTTCTCCTTTTTCTCATTCACCACTCAAAATTGAAACATTTATTTCATAGATTCAAATTAGATTTTGTTTTGCTTTTCAGGTATTTCATTCCTGATAATAAATTAGTTTGGACTGGAACTATGCTTTCACTTTCACTGTTAAATCTTAGGTGATAATAAGATAGCAGTGGTTATACTTAGGGATGCTAATGGTTAACCAGTAAGCCTCGCTTTTAATGGTTGAGGCTTGCCAGTTATGGTTAACCGGTGGGAGCTGGAGCAGCCTCCCACACACCTTAGGTAGGGGGGCTGCTCTAGCCCAATAGCCCCCTGCAAGTGGGGGCGGAGGGGATGTTTCAACCTGGCCAGGGAAGCCCCCTACCTTCCCAGTTTAATCGGTTAACTCATTAAACTTATCATGTAACCAGTTACCTAATTAAAAGGGTTTTTACATGCCTATTGCACTGGTTCCCCTTAGACATGCTTCAGGAAGCAACTGGACCTAACCTAACTTAAGTAACTCTTTTCCCTGGACAACAAGTAGCTTTGTGGTCCCAAAGTAATTGTAATGTTAATTCAGCTCTGTAACAGTTTGTGCTGTACACAGAGCATTGCCTTTAATTTATGATTACGGTGCAGTGTGGGTTTTAGTATGGACCATGTATAGTCATGCCAGTGATCTAGGATTTGTACTTGCATTGCTAATTTATGCTGAACCCATCCCTGCAAGTATGGCTATTTTTGCTATTTTTGCTATTCTCACATCATACCATAGTTTGCAGTGCAGGTTTGCCCTATATTTTAAAGATGATGGGGAAGCAGATTCCACTCCATTGTTTTTATATTAAGTGTACAAGGAATTCCATACAAAACAATATTTTTGGCCCTATTTATTTTGAAATCCTTTTTTTCTTATTCTACTTCTCTATTCTAGGTGACCCTCCTTCTGAAGTAGGAAAAAGGTATATATGCTGCTGTCATTTGGAACATTGCATTGACTTAAGATAGTAGAGGTGAACTCCGGATCCCATTGAAGTCAATTGCAAAACTCACATTGGTTTGAATGGGTCAGGATTTCGCTCTAGATTTGCTAATGGTCTTCCTAATGTTGGCACCTATATACCAAGATGACAATTGCAGTAGACGTGCCTAGACAAACAGATAATTGTAAGGGGGGGGGGGCAAGTCTGTGAGTTGGGTGGTTTGGGAGTATGAACAGGAGCTAATTATTTCCATACGTTTCTTTGTACTAACGCCTACACACAGATACTTAATAAAATAAATTCTGGCTGGATTAGCTTCTTTGTTTTGATTTAACTCTTATAATAAGTATTCATATTCAGTGATAGAAGAGAAGGAAATTTCATCTCCTTGCTTGGATTTGAATTATATTTGGAAGCTTTAAAATTTACATGGCTTGCCCTATATTTTTTACTTATTTGAAGAGCAAATGTTTTCACAGTTTAGTATTCATTTAAACAAAAAAAAAATGAAATCCATAAAATATATCCTTTCAGCAAGCAACAGTTTTTCAATCTCCTGGGATAAAATAATGCTTTAGAAATGACTTTTGCTGTCTATGTCCATGCTCCATTTCATGCCCTTAAGAATAATTTTGTCTGTTCAATGTATGTGGGGGGAGGATGGGCAGGAGATAAGGGTATAAGAAATTTACATAATAAAGAGAACATTTGGGAAAGGAAAGAGTCAGCAGTACCAACATGAAACATCTTTCCTGACAATAACCAACTTCTGTATGTTTCTTTGTTTTAACATTTGGCATATTTGTCCTTCATATTCTGAAGGGGGAAATGAATTCTGCCTAATATCTTAAAAACTGCTGCTAAAAGGCAACTATCTGTCCAATATCTTTGAAGTCTATTCTACAGCTTGTTATCTTGCTTTAGATACTGGGGATATATTTTAGTTTTTAAAAAGCTTCATTAGAAGCATGTTTAGTGAATACAGTTGTTGCACCTTTGTGAATTGTGAACTCGATCCAGGTTTATTATGTGACATCAATTTTTTAATGATCTATTCAAATAAAGAATCAGATACGGGTTTTCTCAGCATTTTCCTGCAAATAAAAGAGAGGAAATGGAAGATGAGTAGAAGAATTAGTTAAACTGCAGGGTAGAAATGGAAAATGAGATTGAAAGAATGTTGGCTTTGAAGTTTCCTTCATACGTAAGGCAAAAATAGAGCAATTTTTGTCTCATGTCTTTGAGGCCAACAGAGTTCGAGGACAGCCAAATGTTTTTCTCCTATACTGGCTGACTCTGAACTTGCATTGAAATGGTGCTTTATGGAGTCAATAAGCTCTGTTTACCTGTTTCTTTTTTCCAGAATTTCTGAGATCTCAATGGAAGTTGCTGAAGAAAGCAATGTGTTTGGAATGAGTCCTCATGTTCACTTGATTGAGAAATGTGACTGCCCACCAGGTTATTCTGGCTTGTCATGTGAGGTACAATGTCGGGTTAACCTCTGTTACATGTCTTTACTCTGTATTTATCTTTCAGCTGTACTAGTATGAGGAGAGTTTCAAACAATAACCATGCTTAACAAAGCCACATGCTCTCTCTTAATTTAGTCCTTCTGTTCCTTCCCCCCCATGTCCTCAATCTTCAAAGCACAAGTACTTACTTAACTTTAAGCAGATAAGTAATCCTACTGAAGTCATTGGAATTGTTCCTGTGCTTAAACTTAAGCACATTCAGTTTTGCTGGATCAAAGTCTCTGCACCTGCATTGTGTGAGCAGTGAGAGCCAATGAAACCTGCTGAAAGTGATGACATGCATACAGTAGTACCTCAAAGATCTGAACACCAGATTTATGGACTTACTGGTCAACTGGATACCATGTGGAACCAGAAGAAATCAATCAGGCATCAGGGGAGACAAAAAACTCCAGCATATACTGTACTGCCAAGGGCTCAGGGCTTCAGGTGATTGAGGTTTTGTCTTTGAGTCTAGCGCTCCCATAGGGCAAAACCGTAGCACTCCCCTGAGCCGTGATGCCTCAAGCGTCAGAAGCTCCATCACTTCCCTCCCACCTAGAGCCAAGATACCTTGTCT